CTTTCTTGCAATAACTCAACATTGGGAACATCGCTGAAGACATTAACTTCTCCATATTGTTTAGGTTTCGCAACGGGACCTCCAGGACGGCCACGGTCTTTTTTCACTAGAAGCGAAGGGTTGATCTGAAATTACAGACACAATTCTTGGTTAACCACATACATCGATTATTATGTTCAAACCAACAAGTCAAATGCTTCTGCTACCTCTCTGAATAAGGCTATGAGGGAACGAGCTGCTGCTGAGATGGCTTTTTCATGGGACTTTTTATACAGAGCAAGATCTTGTAGCAAATCTTCTGTCATCAACTGAAGTTACAGGAAAAAAGAAGCGAAAACACAATTCAGACAAAAACAGGAATGGTGGTGTATCCATACATTAACATGAGCATATCAAACCAAAGACACTCAGAGCCAATAATTAGTTACCTCGGGAATCCTCAGGCACATTTCTCGTATCACATTAAGTCCAACAGCAATAGCCTGGTTCAATAAATGCAACAAAAATTTTTACTAGATGATATACTAAGCTCTCTAGTGAAATCCAATGATGTGAGAAAACTTATAACCGCACAGAAAACTTATAATCGCACCTCAGGGCGTGAACGGTCATGTACAAACTGATTCACTATATGCTTGAACAGTGGCTCCACGACATCAGAAGGAATCTGCTCAAGACAATATACAATTGAAAGGACTGAAGAATGAGAAACGCAGTAATGCTTTAAAGTGGAAATGTTTCTATACCCCATCATGGCAAGCCTGAACTGCTGATGCAAGTATTTGTGTAATGTCCTTTTCATGTGGCTGCATTTAAGAACATATATTCATCAAAACCCAATTTGCAAATGAAATTTTTGAAGGGTGGTTAGGAGATCTTACCTTAGCATAGTTTTGAAGGAAAGGATAGAAACTTAATAATTGCAACTTGTGAAGACCAATTGTGCGTGCAATAACTTTTATCATCATCAACTTGGTCTGCAAATTTGATCAATATGGAAAAAACGCCAAATGAGATCAGAGAGCAAGTTACAATAAAAGATTTTTGAGGAAAAACAGTAAAAATTATATTAGGGGAAAATCATCAGTTAAGTACACAAAGTTAAAGCTGGCTATACACTTGGCGAAAGTAACGGATATGATGTGGTTCAGTCAAATTTTATGATCAAAACAGGGAGAATAATTACCTCAATCCGTTCACCAGTTTTGCCAATGGTCTTTCCAGTCTGAAGACGGGAAAACAATCTCTCTGCAAAGTTCTGTAAAAGACATAAACATTCAATTATAGCCACTCCGTACTATTGTAATTACCTTCTCTGTATATCACACACTACGAAATGCTAAGAAGTGAACCTGCGCATCATTTAGATGATTAAGAGGTGAATAAGTTGAATTGGTGTTCTCAGACGACGAACGCTGCTTTCTTTTAATACTTCGCATTGCACGCTGCAGTTTTGCTTGCTTTTTCTTCTTGCTAGAAGAAGTACCTTTGTTGTTCGCCTACTCATCAAAAAGGGAAATATATTTTTAATAAACTAACTCAAAACTGTTACCCAAGATATTAAGCTCCATAATATCATATAACCAGGACCATTTCATACTTTTTTATAATGATGAAAATGATATAGAAAATTTCCATCAACAAACTAGTAAGTGTCTTCTTCAGACTCGCTGATAAAATCCATTTCTAATGTTGTTTACCTTGTAAACAGCCTCTCTGTTAACCGCAACCTGAGATACTTTCTTTGAATCCTCGTCATCACTGTCTGAAGCATCACTATCATCATCACCGTCAATGTTCTCATAGTCAAGCAGAAACCGAAGGGAAGAAATCATGATCCTGAACATTTTAAAAGAGAAGTTAGTAGTTTGACCAACCAAATCATATCAACATACTCTACAGTTAAAAAAAAGAAGGGATATACCTAGGTGAAGTATGAAAGCACGCTTCACAAATCGCAATTGCAACTCTGGCATTATTATCACCAAGCCAGACCTTTCTTTTATGAAGCTCACAAAGAGTAACAAGTGCTCTCTTAGCCTTTGTTTCATCTTCTTGCTACAAACAAAACACACCAAGCTAACTATCATCTACTATACTCGTCGTTCCATAAAATCCCATGAAGAGAGAAAAGAAAAGAAATTTACCTCCAACATTGAGATCACAATATTCTGAAGTGATCTATGTCTGTTGTCAGTGATACTCATCTTACGAATGGTTTGAACAACGTGAGAGAAAGCAAGATTTCGCAGGTTTCTGTCACCAAAAGTCTGAATATCCAGAAACAGAGCCAGCAAATCTTCGAGGATAAGACTCTAACACACCAACAAAACAGTAAAATCATTCTCAGAACAGAACACACCACAAAAATGGACTGACAATACGAGCACAATATAGCAGCTCAGATTCCAATCAATCAATCACATAAAAAACAAACCTTTCGATTCATGAGAAGAATCAGTGCTTGTGCAACATGGTTACGAAGCCCAGAAGGCATTGCAAGACACGAGGTCCGTAGTAAATCAGTCAATTGAGTAGGAAAATCCTTAAGCTGCTTGGGGTAAAACGGAGTAACGTGAGCCAGAAACATGGCTCGGTCACCGAGTTCCTTGGCAACGGAAGGGTCGGAGCCGATTCCTCCGACGGAGGAGAAACTGAGAGCAGCCTGTTGCTTAAAGAGATCGACGGATGCTTTGAACTGTTTGTAAATAAGTTGGAGCTCAGTTTCGTAACCTTGTGGGTCACGCTTGATTTTACCCTGAAGGGTAGGAAGACTGAGCTTCTCGGAGCTCCGGCCAGATGCCTTTAAAGAATCCGGCGTAAGACCTAGAGATCCGGCCATAATCGGAGGTTTTTGGGAGAGACAAGGAAAACCTAGTAAGAAGAGAAAAAAATTAGACCTTTTAACTTATACCTCCATTTATCATCAACGACGACAAAACGTATAAGAAGAAAACAATACGCGAAAGCTATAAACAAAATTCATTGAGGAATTGTGTCGAACAGTTGGTGTACTACCATAAACGCTCTACTGAATTTGGCTAAATTGACATTCGCAACACAATAGATAGCTAAAACCCGAAATGAAACTGCAAATTTACCTCAGTGATGAGCTCGTATCTATCAG